TTTTTTTTGGAGACAGAGTCTTACTCTGTAGCCCAGGCTGGAGTGCAGTGGCATGATCTCAGCTCACTGCAACCTCTGCTTCCTGGGTCCTGGTTCTAGCAGTTCTGCCTCAGCCTCCCGAGTAGCTAGGATTACAGGCGCGTGCCACCATGCCCAGGTAATTTTTGTTTTTGTTTTTGTTTTTTAAGTAGCAACGGGTTTCACCATGTTGGCCAGGCTGGTCTTGAACTCCTGACCTCATGATCCGCCCACCTCGGCTTCCCAAAGTGCTGGGATTACAAGTGTGAGCCACTGCACCCGACCTGTTCATTTATGCTTTTAGGAATGATTGCAGGCATATTGTATACAAGGCAAGAATAGTGATATTAGTAAACTCAAAAAAATCTTCTTGTATTATTTGTATCTTTATGACCTAATTTAATGGCATAGTTTAATTTTTTAATCCTTGAAGCTTAAGGGATTCATAAAAATGAGTCAGTCCACAGACCCTGCTCTTGGCATTCTGATCAGGGTGCCATTAGAGAATGTTCTCTAAATTCTGGCCAGACTCATTAGAGTGCCTCTTCCCTCCCAGAGTAGTAGCTGCTGCTGTTATTATTAAGCTGAGCTCCACATATCAGTCACCTGGAATCAGATCATCAAAAAAAGGGTAGTGATTTTTAGCTGCTTCCTCCCCTGGTCTGGTTGCCCCAGTGACTTAAGTTCAGAGAGATCAGCAGCTGTCAGATTGGAATTTCCCCAGACAGTACAGACTGGCAGAGGGTTTCTTAATGGCCTTGCTATACACGTGGTGCCTGGTTTTTCTGTTAGTGTACAGAGCAGGTACCTGAGGGGAAGGAAGTGCCCACTCACTTTAGCTGTCATAAATCATCAGAGCTACAGCCTTGGCCATGTGGTTTCTGCACTGGGAGTCAGGTGGAGTACCCCAGGCCCCTGTACAGAATGGAGCTTGACATGTATGCTGAAACCTCTCTTAAGGCTCCATCCAGTTAACTTCCCAAGAGCATTAGCAAATCTTTGCAGCAGTTCAACATCTGTTTAGAAATGCCCTTTCATCTCCCTGTATTAGATACGCACCAGAACAGGTGACTTTCACTTTCCCAGTACTCCAAATGGAGATTGTGAGGAGTCACTGTCTGAATAAACATTAATGGCAAGTGTTTCTCTCAAACTTGTATACAGTTGATGCTTGAACAATGTGGGGGTTAGAGGTGCCAACCTCCATGGGGTTGAAAAGCTACGTATAACTTTTTTTTTTTTTTTTTTTTTTTTTTTTTTTTGAGACGGAGTTTCGCTCTTGTTACCCAGGCTGGAGTGCAATGGCGCGATCTCGGCTCACCGCAACCTCCGCCTCCTGGGTTCAGGCAATTCTGCTGCCTCAGCCTCCTGAGTAGCTGGGACTACAGGCACGCGCCACCATGCCCAGCTAATTTTTTGTATTTTTAGTAGAGACGGGGTTTCACCATGTTGACCAGGATGGTCTTGATCTCTTGACCTCGTGATCCACACGCCTTGGCCTCCCACAGTGCTGGGATTACAGGCGTGAGCCACCGTGCCCGGCCTACGTATAACTTTTGACACTCCAAAAACTTCTAATATTTTGACGTTAGGAAAACTTGACTACTAATATAGTCTACTGTTGACCCTGTTGAGTGAAGGCCTTACTGATATGCAGTTACAATATAGTAAGCTAGAGAAAAGAAAATATTATTAAGAAAATCATAAGGAGGTGAAAATATATTTATTTAGAGACAGAGTCTCTGTTGCCAGGCTGGAATACAGTGGCCCAATCTTGGCTCGCTGCAGCCTCTGCCTCCTGGATTCAAGTGATTCTGCCTCAGCTTCCCAAGTAGCTGGGACTACAGGCACACACGACTATGCCCAGCTAGTTTTTGTATTTTTAGTAGAGACGGGGTTTCACCATGTTGGCCAGGATGGTCTCAATCGCTTGACCTCTCAAATTCTTGACCTCTTCACCTGGCTTGGCCTCCCAAAATGCTGGGATTACAGGTGTGAGCCACATTGCCTGGCCTATTTACTATTTTTTTTAAGCTGGAGTGTAGCAGCGTGATCTCAGCTCACTGCAACCTCCACCTCCCAGTTCAAGCGATTCTCCTGCCTCAGCCTCCTGAGTAGCTGGGACTACATGCATGCACCACCATGCCCAGCTAGTTTTGTTTTGTTGTATTTTTTAGTAGAGAAAGGGTTTCATTATGTTGGCCAGGCTGGTCTTGAACTCCTGACCTCATGATCCTGGCCTCTGAAAGTGCTGGGATTACAGGTGTGAGCCACCCACACCTGGCCCTATTTACTATTCATTAAGTGGAAGTGGATCATCATGAAGGTCATCCTGGTCATCTTCACCTTGAGTAGGCTGAAGAGGAGGAGGAGGAAGAGGAATTGGACTTGCTGTCTCAGGGGTGGCAGAGGCTGAAGGAAATCTGCATGTAAGTGGATCTGCACGGTTTGGACCCGTGTTGGCCAAGGGTCAGCTGCAGTTGTTTTGAGTATATGTCTGTATTTTAAAGCACTTTCCCTTTAAAAAGAAAGATTTGAGGATACAAGTGCAGTTTTGTTACATGGATATATTGTGTAGTGATGAAGTCTGCACTTTAGAGTATCCATCACCCAAAATGTGTACATTGTTGCTTTTTTTTTTTTGTAGCAAAGTGGAAGATGCATTCTACAAAGGTGAACTCAGGCTGAATGAGGAAAAATTATGGAAGAAAAGCAGAACGGTGAGATACTAACCTAAAATAGCCAGATGTTTTTGTCTCTTGCTCTGTTAGTACTCAATTAATGCTGCCCCAAAATTTCCCTCTGGCTCCTCTTCTTTCTCTGAGGTCCTCTGTGGTCTTCCAGTTCAAGCTGGTGAGAATCACATATAGCCTTCAATCACACAGGCCCTTTCACTTTTGCAGCCTTAATGACCCCCGATAAAGCTTCTCCCTTTTTAAATTTTAGAATAAGCCACTGTTAGAAATGGCAAAAATCCATTAATTAAACTTCCAGGTCATTAATGTTAGCCCTTATGGAATCCTTATAATTAGATTTCAAAGAAACATTTGATCCACGTAGAGGTGTTCTTTGGCTGATGGTATCTGAGCAGATGTGTAATTCTGTACAGCTCAGCAGTACCCACCGAGTGCTTGCTGGATGCATGGCTTTGTGTGCAGAGCAGCTATAAAAAAGGATGTGTTCTGTATTTTCTGACAAATCCATATCAATACTGTTGTTAAGTGAAAGTCAGTTACAAGAAAATGTGTTTCCAGGCCTCCCCCTCTTTTTTTTTTGAGACGGAGTTTCGCTCTTGTTACCCAGGCTGGAGTGCAATGGCGCCATCTCAGCTCACCAAAACCTCCGCCTCCTGGGTTCAAGCAATTCTCCTGCCTCAGCCTCCCGAGTAGCTGGGACTACAGACACGCACCACCATGCCCAGCTAATTTTTTGTATTTTTAGTAGAGACAAGGTTTCACCATGTTGACCAGGATGGTCTTGATCTCTTGACCTCGTGATCCACCCGCCTCGGCCTCCCAAAGTGCTGGGATTATAGGTGTGAGCCACCGCGCCTGGCTCCCCCCACCTTTTTTTTTTTTTTTTTTTTGGGACGGAATCTCACTTTGTCTCCCAAGTTGGAGTGCAGTGGCATGATCTCGACTCACTGCAGCCTCTGCCTCCAGGTTCCAGCGATTCTCCTGCTTCAGCCTCCTGGGTAGCTGGGATTATAGGCATGTACCACCATGCCCGGCTAATTTTTATATTTTCAGTAGAGAAGGGGTTTCTCCATGTAGGCCAGGTTGGTCTCGAACTCCTGACCTCAGCTGATCAGCCTACCTCGGCCACCCAAAGTGCTGGGACTGCAAACGTGAGCCACCACACCCAGCCCAGTCTTCACTTTTCTAACAATAAATCATATGTAAAAATTCTGGGGCACAGTGGCTCACACTTGAATCCCAGCACTTTGGGAGCTGAGGCCAGCAGATTGCTTGGGCACAGGAGTTCAAGACCAGCCTGGGCAACATGACAAAACTCTGTCTCTATAAAAAATACAAAAAATTAGCCAGGCGTGGTGGCAGGCGTTTATCTCAGCTTCTCGGGAGGCTGAGATGGGAGGATTACCTGAGCCTGGGAGGTCAAGGCTGCAGTAAGCCATAATCGTGCCACTGCACTCCAGCTTGGGTGACAAGAGACCTGTCAAAAAAAAAAAAAATCCTGTTAGAAAATATATTTTTGTAAAAGTAAATTACATATATACAAACATCTGGAATTAAAATACTGCTGTTACTAGTATTTAAGTGAAACATTGTGGGTTATATTGATTTTCTTCATGCTTTTTATTTTCTGAATTTTTTACCATGAGTATAAAAATTGGAAAAATACTGATTAAAAAAAGTTAAGGCCGGGCGCGGTGGCTCACGCCTGTAATCCCAGCACTTTGGGAGGCCGAGGCGGGTGGATCACGAGGTCAAGAGATCGAGACCATCCTGGTCAACATGGTGAAACCCCGTCTCTACTAAAAATACAAAACATTAGCTGGGCATGGTGGTGCATGCCTGTAATCCCAGCTACTCAGGAGGCTAAGGCAGGAGAATTGCCTGAACCCAGGAGGCGGAGGTTTTGGTGAGCCGAGATCGTGCCATTGCACTCCAGCCTGGGTAACGAGAGCGAAACTCTGTCCCAAAAAAAAAAATAAATAAAAAAAAATAAAAAAATAAAAAAAGTTAAAACACAATAAAAAGATATGACAGAGACCATTAAAAACTGTGAAAGACAAAAGACATGCAAGGTATTGGAAAGTATAATCTAACTCAGTGTTCTGGGAACAGAGGTTCCAGAGAAGATTGTTTTTATTTCATCATCTTTCATATTTCAAAACACCCCTGGGGTTGGAAGATCTGAGCTATATCCGGTTGCCCTAGGACTTGGGACTTTGAGGCCGTCAGCTGTCAGCCGTGCATTTGGGTGAGCACTGAGGCTTCCTGCAGTCCTTGCTAACTGGGATCATGCAGGTTCTTGCAGCAATGTGGGCAGAAGGAGGGAAAACTCCCCCGTGCTGTCTCAGCCCCCAAGTCACAGGCCCTGGTGATCCCCCTGACTTGAACCGGCATGCTTACACTATGGCTGTCTGCTGTTACTCAATGAGCTGCACGCAGTCATAAGCGCTTCTCATCTCTGAATTACTTTTTCCTGACTGTAGCCTGCCCTCCTTCTAAGCTGCAGTATTCCAAAAACAAGATGTGTTCTTGGAGTAAGGAATGATTACTCCCTGAACACCCTGTCTCTGTGCTGGGGCCTCATTTACAAACCCCACTAGACTATTTTTCTCCCCGTTTTGTGATGTTGTTAACTACAGCCTAATTGCTGCTGCTTCATTCTGCCTTGGGTGTTCCGTTGTCTCAGCTGCCTTGCAGGTTTCTCGTGAGGGTCAGCAGAGGAAGGGGGCATTATTAACATTAAGCTGTCTTGTTACTAGGAGGCCTGGTAGCCATAGAAACTGCAGCTGACTGGAGATTTGAAATGTAGATATTTGGAACAGCCCCTAATCTCCGCCAGTTTTGCTTTGTGTGTGGTGAGGGACACGGCCTTGGAGGGGAATAAAAAATGTCTTGCCTTCCTTGGTCTGCAATGTATAGCCAGTGCCTAGCTGCTGGCCCCAAAGGGTCAGGTGCTTGTCTGATGCTGCAGCTCTAACCCTGGCTGCCTGCAGTTCAGCAAAGCTTTTCTTTGAGCTGAAAACCAGGTGGAGCCCAGAGCTGAGTAACTGTTGATTAAGCAGTGGGTGTGTGGTGCCCAAGTATGGGGACCGAATCCTTCCTAAACTCATCTCTTCTTGGGATCAGTTGGGTAAGGAGAAAGACGCCTTCTATGTGCCACAAGGAAGCCCCAAAGGGATTCATTCTTTAGCCACACACTGGCCTCTCTTTCGAGAGGCTGACATCATGCACAATATCTCCATGGAAAGATATACATAGAGTATCCTTTTCTTTGTATATCTTTTTTTCTTTTCTTTGGAGACAGGGTCTTGCTTGGTTGCCCAGGCTGGAGTACAGTGGTGTAACCACAGCTCATTGCAGCCTTGACCTTCCGGGCTCAAGTGATCTTTCCACCTCAGCCTCCCAAGTAGTTGGTACTACAGGCACAACACCATACCTGGCTAATTTTTTATTTTTGGTAGAGACAGGGTCTCACTGTGTAATCTAGGCTGGTCTTGAACTTCTGACCTCAAATGATCTGCCCACCTAGACCTCCCAAAGTGCTGAGATTACAGGCATGAGACACCACGCCTGACCTATATACCTTTTCTTTGTATACCCTTTTGTATCTTCTAAATTTTATAACACATGCACATATTACTTATTAAAAGAATTTTAGGCCCAGCACAATGGCTCATCCCTGTAATCCTAGCACTTTGGGAGGCCGAAACCCCGATTCTACTAAAAATACAGAAAATTACCTGGGCATGGTGGCAGGCACTTGTAATTCCAGCTATTCGGGAGGCTGAGGCAGGAGAATCGCTTAAACCCGGAAGGTGGAGGTTGCAGTGAGCTGAGATCATACCACTGCATTCCAGCCTGGGCGACAGAGTGAAACTCCTTTATTTTTTTTTTTTTTAAAAAGAATTTTAGCTGGGCAAGGTGGTGCATGCCTGTAGTCCCAGCCACTTGGGAAGCTGATGCAAGAGTGTCATTGAGCCCAAGAGCTTAGACTGCAGTGCACTGTGATTGTACCTATGAATAGCTACTGCATTCCACCCTGCACAACATGTGAGACCCATCTCTAAACATTTTTAAAATAATAATTTTAATGAAATAAGGTTATGCCAAAAAAGGTAAAGCAGAGTTCCTAAGCCTTGTTTTTCTAGACAGATAAAAATCTAGACAGATTTTTTAAAATGTCCACACAGGCTGAAGTAGTCTTGTTAAACACTGAACCCATTGTCACTGATTCACATTCCTAAAAAAATAAATAAAAATTGAATCCAGGGTCAGTTGTAGCGGCTCATACCTGTAATCCCAGCACTTTGGGAGGTCGAGGCGGGCAGATCACGAGGTCAAGAGTTCGAGACCATCCTGGCCATCATGGCGAAACCTCGTCTCTGCCAAAAACACAATGATTAGCCAAGCGTGGTGGCGTGCACCTATAGTCCCAGCTACTTGGAAGGCTGAGGCAGGACAATCGCTTGAACCCGGGAGGCAGAGGTTGCAATGAGCTGAGATTGTGTTACTGCATTCCAGCCTGGTGACAGAGCAAGACTCCGTCTCAAAAAAAAAAAAAAAAAATTGAACCCAGTGGAACTACAGAAAGGTGGAACGCCCCCTACCCCTGCCCAGATAATACCTGTGTTGTTCTGTTCCACAAGCCCAAGGAGAGAAAGTCTTGACCATAGCTGTCGTATGAGCCTTTGCGTTTCTCAGCCCACAGGAGAGGAAGTTAGCAGTTTAAAATCTGCTCCCGCATGAGTTTTATATCCAGTTCCTGTGGGCTTCCTGGATTGGTCAGTATAGGGTTGTGGCAAGCAGGTGTGCATGCCATGTTGTGGACTGACAACTGGGCCTACAGAGGTCTTGAGTGGGTGGGAGAATAGGCATCGGCTTGTTCTGGTGAGGTTCAAAGGTTTCACAGTCTGAAGTTGTATCTGCCTTAGAGAACATTAATTGGAAAATAAAGGTCAGCATTCTGACACCATACTTCTTAAACAGAAGCCCTCCAGTGGCCTTATAAATGGCCATGTGTGCCC